CACGTCGCCATCACCCGTCCCAATTTTAGTCTACTCGGCTCATTCTCATATGTATCTTTAATGCCCTTTTGAATTGGTTAAATGCGCTAATATTACGAATTTTAGACGGTAATTGATTAAATAATGGCACACCCTCATACTTATTAGACTTCTTCAAATAATTTGTACGTGGCTTCGGCAGATTAGCAACTCGCTCGACGAGTATTGGGTGTAGTGGTGTGTTTTATTTTTTTTAAATCATAAGCTACTATTATAAATTAAATGACGTACAGATTGCGGAATGGATTTTGATATTGACCAAAATCTGCCTATAAGTGATTTTAGTTTAGTAATTATGTGTGATATATGAAAGTTCCACTTTAAATATAGTATCCATTCTAAGACCCAGATATTTCTCCCATTCCAGACACTGATTCCATCGAGATATAAACTTAAGCATTACACATTCCAACTTTTAAAACCCACATATTTTTAAATAAAATTTCCAAAACTTTAACAGACGAATTATCCAGTTGAGGACTCCATTTAACACAAACAAAGATGTCAGAAACTTTTTGCATTATCCACAAGCCATTTTGACTGTTCAATTTTGTGCAGATCTCATTACAACTTCCTATAGTTTAATTGGCTAGACCGACGTTCGTAGAATGGCAACGTGTCCAATTTAAATGTAACTCTCCCGTTTTATTATCTAGTAACATCATCGCAGATTTCACTGCAGGTGAAGAGTAATATGGGGGTCTGAGTATGATGGTTATGAATGCAACATTGTCGTGTTAGTTATGTAACTGAAATTGTTGTTTTCACTGTTTTGAACGCATGAAATTGTATGAATGAATCTTATGCTAGGACGGTTTGTGGTGTTTGCACGCTCAGATTTCATATTTCACAGAAATTTCTAAGTAAAATACGCTTCTGGACATTTTCATGTTTGAAACTCGAGTTTGACTTATTTGTTTTTCTTAGCGTAATGAAATGTAAGCAACCGTCCCACTATTTACAACAAGTTTAAGGGCACTGTAATTATGAAATACGGTTGAGTAAATTTCAATATGCCTGGAATAGATTGTATATATTAATAAAGCATTATTGACGACTCATTGGTCTAGTGGTTAGTACCCCTGACTGCGAATCCATGGGTCCCGGGTTCGATGATGAGCATTTGGTGTTGTGCTGAGGTCTTGGGTGTTTAAATATGTATGTCTATCTATCTATCTCGAAGCTTAGCATGGGACTAGGTCAATTGGTGTGAATTATCTTTAAAAAAAAACCATTATAACAACTGACAGTTCTATAAGAGTAAGAAAATGTATTTTCATAGAACGAAAACCACCACCTGGAAACCACGAAATCTGACTCTCAGTCAGTCAAATATTCGCGCTTATTAGAGAACGTGTATTGAAATTAATGTCACCAAAAACATTTTCTAATCAAGGCAAGCATATAAACTGATAAACCGGAAAAGGAATACACCTAAATTATTATTTAAAAATCGAACATCTCTAAAAATGTTGCCAACAACCTTCAGGCAAAAGTAAAACCTACTACAAGTTCCAGCAAAAAAAACAAGGGTTTTAAATACTGGTAGATTAAGACTACTGTGGTAACAATAATAATAATAATTAAAAATTGATAAATAGAAAACTAAAAAATACACATTTGTATTGGGGTCACCAGTACTAACTACTAGGCGCCAACTTACAATTAAATTTGCGCCTGTGTACTCGAATCCACGGCCCAAGAGTCTCTACTCGAATGGGACCAAGAAAAAAATTAAAATAAAATAAACACGCAAAAATTTGTATTATAGTTTACATTTCAAGATCTTCAGTTTTCTATGATGTGCCACATCACAATATAATTATAGGTTCGTTGACCGTAAACCTTATTGTACCTTTTTTGATGGCTACTCTATAGTTTGTTTATAGAAATCCATTATAATGAAGAGTATGTATTGTCTTTAGGTTAACTATTACATCTATAACCAGAGATAATGTATATCAGAAAATTATTAAAAGCAAAACAGTTTGTGAAATCAAGTATTGATTTATAGTCTCTTGTGCAGCGATTACAGTTTTTCAACGGATTAAAAAGAAGAGCAACCTTTCAATATCGGCTGTTAGTACTCGAAAATACAAAGAAACATTGGCTTATTTTGCAATTTTCAACTGAATATTAAATCGCTGGCTTTGTTCTTTAAACTTTTATATTTCAGTGCACAAGTTAAACTGCGTAGTTAGCTTCAAAGCAATAAAAATATACCCACTTTAATCTACTGTTTAATGCTGTTTTGTTAAACGTGTAAGTCGTAGAGCCACCATTTGGTGAGTACAGTTGGCTTTTCAACTATCTTCTGTCCAAATGATTAGGAAAATTAAAATGATGTCACTGTACGATCGGAGATCTCTAGCCGGTGTTGCGTTCTTATAATAATAATAATAAAATAAGCCAGAAAATTTTACATAATTTTAAACTTAAACTATTATCACTAGTGAATCGGTGACACCGACAACCCATCTGTTTGCCCAACTTTAGCAAAGGCCTCCTCCATTTCTTTCCACTCTGCTCTGTTCTGAGCTTTCCATATTTTCCCAGTTACGGACTTTATTTCGTCTTCCCACTTTTCTTATTTCTTGGGTACCAATATATGATCTTTTTGTTCCACTTTTCTATGCCTCTTATTATTTGACCATCCCATTTCCATTTCTATCTTCGTATCCTCGTTGTGACGTTTTCAATCTTCGTGTGGTTACGTTCTTATACAGATTGTTAAATGGTCAAATACAGAAACCTCTTACAGAACATAAACATTGTCGTCCCTTAATCATTCGCAAGGTTTAAAATCAATAGTCCAATTTCCGTCTGCAAAAACAAACCTAGGAGTTTTGGGACTTCTTATTCGAATATGCGAGTATAACAGAATAAACACTACTTATCCAGACCTTTATATAGAGATATATTCAGTAGTGGGCTGATCAATTAAGAACAGCATTGATGTTAGTGCTTATCTGATACCGCTTATGCAAGTAATATTTATTTTTTGTAACATTTATGTTTACCATAATCTTAATATTTATAAATTACGTGTCACGTTGTTTGTCCGCTATGGACTCCTAAACTACCGAACCGATATCAATCAAATTTGCACACCGTGTGTAGTTTGATCCAACTTAAAAGATAGGATAGCTTACATCTTAATTTATACCCGCAATATTATTTTATTGCAAAATATTTGTTTATTATTTGATAGTCACAATTCTAACAGATGGCGCTGTGTTGAAAGTACCAACGTTTCACATAAGCTACAATTTAAAGGCATAACCTCCAAAAAAGCATGGTGGTCCCCATGACTGGTGTTCTCCTACCGTTTCCCTTGAATAGTTTGCTACTATGTAACATAACAAAAACTTTAGCCACAGCAACGCTAGGCCGGTCTGCTAGTTGTCATATATTTTAGAAAATATAGTTTGTTGTTGTGGTGAACTTTAATAAATAAAAAAAAATAACTCCAAATATCCAGGAGGCGAATGTAATATTTTGTTCGAATCTAAGAAACGGAGTTCACAAGATTTTTGTAAGCTTATTACGTTAGGTACAAATTAAATGCCACCAGTTTCAATAGAGTATAATAGTTAGTGAGCTGGCGAGTAAAATTTCTATATGATCAGCACACATGGCAGACTATTATAAGATAACTAGTGGACCCCACAGACGTTGTCCTGCATGATATTTCAAGCTATTAGGATATTAAAGTATGAAAGTACCGACTGCAGCGCCACCTGCCGGGCTGATTTGAACCGGCATATTAGGGTATATGGGTGTAGGGGTAGGGTTCCGACCCTTGGCTCTCGACCGCTCCGCTGGGAATATGTACGGCGTTTACGGGTAAAGTATCTGTATATGTGTCCAAAAGGAATCACACAAATGCCGTACAGTAATAAATGACCTATATTGCTTCTGCAACTGTCGTCGAATTAAAAATTTGCACCGACTTCCGGCACCATCACTTTTGTACGGCACTAGGTTTTTCGACATTTATTTTTAATCATCTATACACTTATAACAAAGCCGTACATTAATAATTAGTCGAAATTCCCCCATTGTACCTGAGAAAGTCCATTCACTCACGTACTCACATGTACCGCTCAGAAATGACGGCATAGTGCTCAGAGCTATTTTCAGATATAGTAACAGCCTTCTAAGCGTAATTCACGTTGGGTCATTTCACAGGTATTTTTTGTTCATGGGCTTGTGGTCTATAAGAACCATCCTCGTACTTCAAGGTATATTATATAAAAAAATCAGACAAATCGGTCAAGCCGTTTTCATGTTATGTCGTGACAACGGAAAACGGGTTTCATTTTTATATATATATAGATTAAGTTTTCCAAACCGAAGAAACCTTGATTTTATATAATAGAAGCCGCTGTATGTCTTCGCTTTTATCTAAAGTTTTAAAAAACTGAAATCCTGATGCCTAATTGAAATCTATTAATTTAGGCGTGATAAAATCTTTCCTTCCTCCTTTTGTAGTAGTTTCTGGACTTACTATTTGAGAGGTTGAGGGCAAGGGTTCATGTTCAGGGCTTTCATCAAAGATCGTAAGTGAACTGAAATGTCCTTGCGTTTGTGGAATCTTATGTAGTAAGAGACGATAAACCTACGAAACACATTTGCTCTTATTCTTTTTCTCTTAATTTAATATTCTTTGCCCTGCCCTTTCTTCCATTTCAGCTTCTTGTCTACACCACTGTTTTGGAAAAATACTTGAGTTTTTTAAATATTCATCATTCATCGCATCACGTCAGGCAAATGAAAAAACTAAGTCATAGGTCTAATGTCTATGCGTTAAAAAACTAAACTTTGAACATAAAGGGACACGCTAGTATATAATTTAAAAAATGATTTCTGGGGTAAAAAATAAATTACATATTCAAAATACATATTATTTATTTTACGATTTACATTTTATAGTTTAATTTTTGACTAACGTATTACTCTTAGCCCCAAACACTTTTAGGTGCCGTGTGTTCTTGAGGGACCTTGGGTACTTGAGGAACTTTGGGGAACTTGGGTTTCCTGGGTCTTCTGGGACCGCTCCTGGAAACATTGGAGTCTTCTGATTGTTCGCCTTCAGCAGCAGTTGAAGGACTCTAAAAGAAAAATAAAATGTTAAGGGTGTTTTTTGTATGTTTAGGTGCCGTGTGTTCTTGAGGGACCTTGGGTACTTTAGGAACTTTGGGGACCTTGGGTTTCCAGGGTCTTCTGGGAGCCGTCCCGGAAACATTGGAGTCTTCTGATTGTTCGCCTTCAGTAGCAGTTGAAGGAAACTAAAAGAAAAATAAAATGTTAAGGGTGTTTTTTGTATGTTTATTTAAAATTGTTCTTTCTACGTACAATATCTCACTTGTCTTATATAACAGATACTGCCTATTAGCAAATAGGCAGGAAGCTCACCTAGTTTAAGACTATGATGCATACTACCAGGATACTCACAAATGCGTGGCCAAATTTAAAAAAAATGGTACGATATATCTACTGATACGGTTTAGATGAGGCAATTAATTAATTATAGTAAATTGAAATGTATAATGAAGTAATTGGTTTAATGGAAAAACTTCGATAATCGCGCATATAAGATGTTCTGTTGCCTAATTATAATCAAACGAAATTGGCTATCATTTTATCATTCATTATACATTCTCACCCTCTAGTTTAGTCAAGCAGACTTGGGTTTCACTAAGTGGAAAAAATTCAATTTAAAAAAAATGAAATAATTGTTTACAATGTTATGCCGATGTAATTTTTAATTGGAATTTGAACTCACCGGTAAATGGAGATGACCGTCATTAATTGCGAAAGCAACCTGTAACATAATTTGTTGGTTACGAACAATAGATTTCTTTTTTGCTTTGCTATTCAAGCTAAACAAAAATGATTCACAAAAGGGTAAAGATACAAGGAAGAAGTAGTACCTTCTTCGTTCCTTGCATCTTTGTAGTTTGTCACATAGACGAAAGTTCTTAGATCTAATATTGATACGATACAAGTTTTATCTAATCGTAAATATTTAATAGAATTGCTAAAGTTGAGTAGAACACCGGCAAAAACTATTCGACTGAGGGTCGCAGGTTTGGGGAACGCGATAGGACTCTGTGTTTTCTGGACCACAGCGGAGCTTGACGCTGTGTCCCCACGGTTGAAATGTCCCCAATGCTGAGTTGGTTACATGTTTGAGTGTTTTAGTGTTTTCTGTGCTTATTAGCTGGACGTCGTCTGCGTATGCACGTACTAAGGACATTGACTAAGGAGATTAGGATTGAGATCTGAAGAGATTAGCATAAATAATATATATATACTAGCTCACCGGGCAAACGTCGTTTTGCCATGTATATCATTTATAATAAAAAATAGGGGTTGATCGTAGAGGGGTGAAAGTTAGGGGCTGTATGTATTTTTTAATGCTGTATCAAAAAAAAATAAAAAACAGAAAAAAATATTAAAAAAAAAAAAAAAATATTTAGGGGTGGACTACCCTTAACATTTAGGGGGATGAAAAATAGATGTTGTCCGATTCTCAGACATACCCAATAGGCACACAAAATTTCATGAGAATCGGTCGAGCCGTTTCGGAGTAGTATGGCAACGAAAACTGTGACACGAGAATTTTATATATTAGATAGATAAAATATTATATAAAAAAAACCTTAGAAGCCGGAAAAATGTTCTGCGGCTAGAGGCGACTTAAAATATACTCACACTAAAGAGGCAAACAGCCAAAATGATGATGGTAGCAGCCCTCATGTTAATTGGTTTTCTTCGAAGATACAGAAACTGACTGTGAATAATTTCATAAAACGCTCGCGTCTTTTATACCATTTCTTTGCATTTTTTGTACTTAATTTGCTTAGAAACAATTGTTTTTAATTTTTAATTAATTGATACTATATCTTACTAAGTTATGCTACCCGGATTTCTTTAATAATTAGTAACTATTACTATATTTATTTAAGCGATAATGGATAGACTGGGGACTGACTGATGTAAACAAGTATCAGTATTTAATTATATATATCAGTATCAGTATGTTTCCTATGAACAAACTTTAATCTTCACTAAATCGCGTAAGCAACTTTTTACTCTTAATAAACGACACTAGTTAAATCTGCTAGTTATAATTTGTAAAGTGTTTTTAGACAAACTGACAAACATAGAACACATTTATACTGTCTATAATATTTTAGCGTAACCCTTTGTTATTTAAATATTTTTTTTTAATTTCCATATAATGTATGCCCAAATTATATAGATAATATAAATTGGTTTTATAATTACTACCACGTGCATAAATTAGCCTTGATATTTTGTTAAAAGCCGAAGGTTAGGTATATTGTTAGCTGTGTTTGTGTATTTACATTAAATTGTTTTCTAGCGATGCCTTACGGTTTCTCACATATATCCAGTCATAGCGTTATATATTAACCCTTCCTTGTAACATGGACTATCAAACTCAAAAATATTTTTTAGTTGGAACCAGTAGTTTTGAGGCTAGCACGTTCAACCAAAGAAACAAACCTCATAAAAGGGGGACAGTATCACTTGTTTTATAACATAAGGCGAACCTCGTCAATCGGCCCGTTTATTTATAATCTATATATATAAAAATGAAACCCGTTTTCCGTTGTCACGACATAACATGAAAACGGCTTGACCGATTTGCCTGATTCTTTTTTTATAATATGCCTTGAAGTACAAGGATGGTTCTTACGGAGAGAAAAATTAAAAACAAATTGAGTGAAAAAGTCTAAAAACAACACTTTTCTATATTCCCATACAAAATATTCGTAATAATATTTAAAGGCAATTTGAACTTTAATACCATATCATGAAGTTCAAGTGTTAGTGGAGGGGTTCCGGGAAGGTAAATTTTTATTTTTTGACATAATGTATTTGTTGTATTATCAACTTTCTTTTTTTTATCTTACTAGCTAGACCGGTGCCTCGAATAGCAGGATAAGTATTAAAAAAAATAAAGAATCGACTGTTAGGCGGTACGATGTTCGCCAGGCCAGCTAGTAATTAATAATTTTATATGAATGATACCGGTGTAGCAAAGCGACATGTCAAAAATAGAGGTTTTCTGGAGAGCGTAATGAATGTTCGAATCTCTCTAGAAATTTATCTATTCACTTTTTGATATTATTTTTTTCTGACATGATTTATAAGATATTTGAAGTTTATGATTCTATTAACCATGTGTATATTACATGTTTTCATGAAAATCTCGATAGATGACTATCCTTATACTATACATTATAAATTTTATATAAGCCAGTCGGTCAAGTCTAAGTTAACCGATTATACGTAGGGCATATCAAATCAATAATTCATTTACGATCTCCGCCATTAAGTTGTGGAATACGCTGCCTGACTCCGTACGATTGGCTACCTCTCTGTCATCTTTTAAAACTCTTCTGTATAATCATTTCTTAACCTTATCCTATCCTCATTAATCGTGACTTGTATAATTCTTATGTTTCCTTTTACATCACTATTCGCTGTTTATGTATTTGCATGATTAGCTTTTAAGTTTTTAGCCTGTTATTAATAAATTTTTTTTGTATTACTTTAGATTAAGGTACTATATATATTATATAACATTTGGTTCTGCACTTCTCGCACGCATCATGTTTCTTTTTTTTTGAGTTTTTCTCTTTAACTAGGGCTGCCTGGAAGAGATCGCTTATTAGCGATAAGGCCGCCCGTTGCATCCCTTATAAGTTTTATGTATTGTGTTTCTTTTCTTTTTTTTAGCAACGAAGTGTAAATAAATAAAATAATTAAAAAATAGGTACAGTAAGAATTTGGTTAGTTTAGTTCCCGGTCTGCCTCCGGCTCGCCGAAATGGAGGAGCCAGAAAAACGTTGCGTTTTTTGTCAAACACAATGTTGCACAAGACTTGAGCCAAGAATGTGCACAGAGCACCTAAAGAGTGCCCAAGCGGGGAAGCAGGGGCCCATGCGTTCAAAAGAAGGGCTGGTGATCCATCCATGCAAGCACTGGACCCGATCTCCCCTAGCTATTCCTAAAAGCGTATGGCCCGATCTGTGAAGGATACTTGCTGTGTTAAGTATCTTCACAAATCAACAATGGGCGGGGAGAGGCGGACACAACCGCCGCATCGCATGTCGGGAAGCGGACAAGGCTCTGCTGTTACCGCATCCCGCCTAAGGCGATTGTTGGTGGCACCTTGGGGTTTTAGTGGGTATGCACTTTCGCGAGTCCCACATAACCCTCCCGCACTAAGCAGTCGCACCGCGGTGGAGTATGCGCAATGCATTTCCCCAAGTAAAAAAAAAAAAAAAAATGTGCACAGACCATTATTGATTCGCCAAAAATTTAAGTTAAAATTTTGCGATACCGTGCTACCAGGAGAGATCAGTGACACGGCAGGATACCACCGGCAGTGTTACCGCGCTGAAAAGCAAATCCAAAAAAAAATTGTCTGTAACAACGGCTGTGCATTCAACATCTGCATCAGTTCAGGAGGCTGAATCATCAGTCAGTAGTGAACTTCCTTTCGTTGAAAATTGTGGACAGGAGGATAAGTCTGCGAGGTATAAAAAAACTCTACTATTATGATGATGAAAAATTTCTCATTATTCGGAGTAATTTCATCGAAGTTTTTTTAACGAGAATGATTTTTTTGTGCAATTAATATGGGAAAGGAGGTAGCTCTAACGTCTAATAACGAAACGTCTATAACGAAACTCGGAGGATAAATCCAGCCATTAAGATTTTTAAATACCCAATAATAGGAAAAACCCGATTTCAACTCAAGGCCAATGACGATTACGAACGCGACGAGATTTTGACGTGAATTTCAAACAGTTATACACCTAAAAATAAGTAAACAAAATGTCTCCCAAATGTTTTTTCGTATCCACGGATTGATAATGAATCGCATGGGCGCAGTGACAACCGTGTGCAAATTACTTTGTAGAGCTTTTTTTTAACATTTTTACTACTCCGTCTGCCTCTTCAATTTTATTCGTTTCCAAGATGTTTGTGGCCATGAACCCCAGAGGTATACATGTGCAAATGATTTAACATCCCCCTTTTTTCAAGCAACTTCAATCGGCTATAACGCGAAAACGCAGCGACGTAGGACCTTAATTCACTGGACCAAATCATTTCGTGCTGACGTAAACTTCAATCTACTCACCAGCTCTCTAACTATAACATCATTTTACATATCATGGCTTGCGTAATTGATAATTTAAATTTTCCCGCCCTTATTGCCGTAGACATAGATAAACGTCAAATGTCAGCCATGTTATTTTGCGGTAAGTACGGTAATCAATATCTGTAATATTCGGTTTCTATAGTTAAACATTGAAAATTTGAAAATCTTCAAAGCGAATTAACTTATCATTTTTCAATATAATTGGTACAATTTGCCATGGGTTAATTATGAACGCCTGGTGCCATTTAGTTAGTGTAAAAACCCGACTATCATTTGGCAATGATCGTAAAAATCGTTATCGACTACGACTATTAAACAGCATTTTAAAGACCATTTCAATTAGTCTGTGCTCTGTGATGTAGAAAATGATTAATTCTTGAACATGTCTTCTAGCTCTAAGATCAAAGTACGAAATAAGTAATTTCCATTTCTCGGTAGCCTTAATCAAAATACGCACGAAAGTCATTCAAGTGTCCCTAAGAGACCTTTTACATTAAGGCGTTAGTAAATTAGGTCGAGGATAGTAACATTGTGTACTAATTACTAAATTACACCGTCTATGTATGGAAATTAACAAGAATTGGGTAAATAAGCAAAGCATCATCTTTGCTTGAATTAAAAGCAATTAATATGTATTGATGCTTCATTATAATTTCAATGGTTGACTCTAATTAAAAACATAATATAGTATAAATTCCTCGATACAAAAAAACACACAAAGTCAACTCTAACTTTTGCCCAATTTCGTTTTTATTCAATCATGGCGAGTTTTTTGGAGCCAAAAATTTGATAAATACTGAATTACAGCACATTAGTGTTGTAGCCAAGAGCTATTTTTAGCAATTTTATTAAATATTGTATATTTTACGAGTTATTTAAATAAAAAGCATATTTTGGCGTTTACTTCGGCGCAGGGAGACGCGCGGGTGAAATCATGAATTTTGCTAGCCTAATGCGCGCTGAATGAAAACTTAGGGTTTAAAAGCGTGAAAAAATCAATTTTATAGAATACATTTTTACGTAAATATTGACATAGTGACTTGATAAGAAAATCCTGTAATGATAAAAAATTATAAAAAGACCTATAACATCTACCTAACGTATCTATCTTATATATCTAATATCTATATAACATATATCTTAAATAACTACTTTCGAAGGAATATTTTTGTAGTAAACAGTAAATTCTTGGATGATATATTATTAGAATTATGAAAATAAGGAAGTATTTAATATATAGTAGAGACACCCAGTAAATAATATTTTTTTAGTATTCGTTAGCTTTGTTAAATAACATAACTAAATTTAATTTTATAATACATAATTATAATAAGTTCTAAGATATCTTTAGTTTTAAGACTTCAAAAAAAGGAATTTGAATACAAAACGAAACAAGTTAGTTGTGCAGTTTACTTCAGAGCCATAGAAAAACTATTCAACACCTTTTATAACAGAATAAAATTTAAATGAAGGCAACGAGTTGGAATTCTAAACAAGATTTGATTGTCAGTTTGATAGATAGTTTTACACTGCACTGAAACTGAATAAAGGAAGATAT